CTGTCCACAAGGAGCTGTGCTGCTCCCCAGCAGCTACGCAGGATCTTTTCCCATGCAGACAAACTCCAAGTCTCTCCATCTGTAGAATGAGGATAATAGACCTGCCCTCTGCAGAGTGTAAAGACTGTGAAACATTCACAATGGGGCCAGATAAGTGCAAGAGCTCAGGGCAGCCTGCCTGGCAAGCAGACTGACAGCTTCCCTCTGCAGCCAGCAGAGTCCTGGCACAGCCAAGGGGGCAACACCCAAAGAGACATTTCATTGGCAAATCTGTCACTCGGTTTTGCATCCCAGCCTGACCAAAGCCTCAGAAAAGAGAATGGGCTCTTGTTTCCTCATCTTCTCAGAGGTACGCAACAGGCTATGACTTTTGCCCTGAATATACTGAAAAGCCCAAATACATCTAAACGGCAGCTGGTTAATAAACATAAGAGGACTGCCCTGGCATAGGCAGAAGGTGCATGACGGCACAGCAGGTCTGCTAAGTGGATCAAGATGCTCTGTATCAAAGCAAACGGAGCCTTGTAAATTTTAAATGCCCGCCTTCACGTCAGGAGTGACAGACTCAGGCCTGCTGGGGGAATCGCTCTGGCACACCAGGGTCACATGCTTAACCTCCAACCCAACTGCGGCTACAAGAGAAGCCTGTTAGCATTTAATGTAAACGGAAATTGCCCAGCTGTGCACAGCCCGCTGCTACCAGCCCCTCCTGGGAAGGGGGCGATGTCTGTGGTGGAGTCTTCCGTGACCTCCCCTTGCAATACAGCATGTCCCAGTCCTCCCCTCTGTTTAATCTAACACCATCAAATATTTTGACAGCATCTGGTAGGGGATACCCACTCTGGGACTACAAGGGCCTGGCTAACAAGTATGGGAAGGCTTAACTTGATGGACAGAATCTACTTCTCAGTTCCCACCAGGGATTGCTGGGGAAGTCCCCGCTTCCTTCCCTAGACAAGTGGATCAGGGGTCAGATTCAGTGACGGTCATTTGGAGACTTAACCATCATTCTGCTTACCAGCACCTCTAATGCTGCTTTACCATAATCAATACTGCTAGTACCAGAGCAGCTCCAGAAAGACAGAACCACAGCTGAACACAGCCTTGGAGCTTTAAAATCCCACACAACTCACTTCAACCTGGAAGGATGAATCCCAGGGAACAGCACTGATGTTCCCAGAGAAACTTTTCCAGGCAAGGTTCACCCACGTAAGAGTGTATGGGGAGACCAGAGTTTTCACCCTCCTCTTTGATGCCAACCCTCTATTGGGGCAGATCTGGGGGGGCATGCTATGGTGCAGCTGCACCCTTCTTCTGCTGCGTAGTGCACATATCGGCAGCCCTGGTTCCCTGCTACCTCGGACACCTGGGTCCCCTGCAGAATCCAGGCAGAAACTGAGCTAAGACCGTGCCACAGCAGCAACCAAGGACTCTGAGTACCCAGAGCAGATAAGGATACCCCCACCCCCCTGCTCTTGGTACCTGCTTCCCTCCAGTATTCAGCAGCACCTCCCCTCCCCACCCAGCGGACAGGCTGAAGGAATTGGTTGTGGGCTGTTTTATTCCCACTGCCCCGCAGGGCAAGGCCCCAGCCTCAAGCAGCAACCTCCTGCACAAGGCTAAACAGACAGCACCAAAAGTGGCCAGGATTTGAACCTGGGACTTGTCACACCCAAAGGGAAAACCCTACCCCACAAGCTGAACCTTGCCCTTAGCATGCAGAAGGAGCCACCTGCCTGCTTGCACACAGCTGGGAGGGGTGGGTGGCTTTGGGAACTCGCAGCCACAGCAACATGGACACGGGCCCCCACGGCAGCACCTGTAGCTCAGACTGTGCCCCTCATGGACATGGGGCTGGAGGGGGGTAAAGAATCTGACCCTGGGTCCAAAGGAAATGTCACTGCATAGCTGGGTTAGGGCAGCTGTAAGGTCCATCCTGACCCTCTGCAGGTATGTCTGTCTGTCCATCACTCTTGTCTCTACCCCTTTCTCTCTGGGAAACTGCTGTAACAGCTCATGCTGCTCTGCTGAGTCCTAACAGCTAGCTCAAGGGCAGAGCTGGGATTTGAACTCTCCTCCCCCTGGTTCAGAGACACTGGGCAGAAAGCTGTCAATCCTGAAATGCCACTTTTGAGTGCTGCGGTCCTTCCAGTGGCTGGAGTGGCTGTCCACAAACCAGGACACCTAGGTTCGAGTCACACCTCCGTGTGAAGTGGAAGGTTGACGTTGCATCGCTGTGCAGTACAGACAGTCTGTAAGGGAGCAGGGTCCCAGGCAGCCATCAGCTGGGGTAGGAGGTTTATGGGTTTGATTCTTGCCAGAAACCTCTGAGCATTGACACCATCATGTTCACCACAACCCACCCCTCTGCCTGCTGCAGGAAGGGAGAACCCACCTGTTGCCCCCACTGTCCTCCGGTAAACCTAGCACCCAGTGTCACTGCTCCCCGCAGCCCCCAGCTAGAGTGGAGCAGGAGCAGGTCTGGGGCTTCCTCCATGCTCAGATCAGCTGGGGGCTGCACCGCCCCCCCCCCCAACCCCCCTTCCCCCCCCCCCCCGGGTTCCCCCTTTGCCCAAGGGGGCCCCCCCGCCCCCCCCCCCAACCGCCCTTTCCTCCCCCCACAGTGTTCCCCCTTTGGCCAAGGGGCTCCACCTGCTCCTCTCCCCCTTTCCCCCATGGGCTGAGGGGCAATGTGCTGTATGCTCCTTTACTAATTCCTAGATCTGCCATGCCCTCATTTTATCAGATGTCAATATTTTGGCTTATGGAAATTGTGTCCTTGTCTCTGCAATGTGCCTTTAAGCAGCAGGGTCTCCGCAGGAGAGGTACACGTCAGAGCAGACTGTCACTGTACAGAGACACCCCCTGTGCTCTCATATGGAGACCTCCCTTCACCCTTCTAGCACACCACGCTGATGGCAAGTGTGTGGTTCTTCTACATCAGGGGGAAAGGCAGTAAATGAAGAATGGCACATGTCCCTCCTAGATGTTGGTCCATGTAGATAATAAGAATCTACTAGTGCTTTTTTAGTGCAAGAAGAAACAGCTTGGAGCAGTTATTTTCAATCACAGTGTCAAGACAACATGAGGTGCCATGAGATCCTTTTAAGGGTGTCGCATTATTAAGACAGACAGGTTTGCAAACACCTATACGGATAAACCCAGAGACTTCAAACAGGAATCCAGTGTGTCAGAAACATCCTGACCTGCTGTGGGCTTTCTGCAGTCTTTGTAGAGAAGACTTGCTCAAAAAAATGAGTGAAAGCTCAGAGCTGGCATTCTCCACTGGTCCTTTGGGTCTAAAAAAAAAAGATTGAGAACCACTGGCCTGGAGGCTAACAGCTCTGGAGCTGTGGGTGCCGACTATACCCAACGCCTGCCCCAGGGTGGGGTGAGGTTCCCAGTGCGCACACACTTTCAAACTGAGGCTTTTACCAGTCTAGGACTTTATGCTTTAAACACAAAATGAAAGTATGAATCTGTTAGAACGTTGCCCTGTGAGGCATTTTCCAGGTTACACAGAGGAGATAAAATATTCATCCCCCTAAAATGTGAAAGCCAAGAGGATCTAATGGAACTTGGTACCTAAGTCTCATTGAAAACCAAGGGCATCTGAGCTCCTAAATCGTGTAGCACTTCTGGAAATGTCACCAAGTATGAACTCCTCCAGCCAGCAAGTGAGACCTCCCCCATGCTGGATGACCCCCTAAGTCAGGATTACTTTTTTATTACAAAAAGGGGCACCTCCATGTACTTTTCCCAAATCTCCCTTTGTGGGCCACCCCCACTTTTCCAACCTATTTAACACTTTAGTCATAGCAGGTGTATGGTTGATCTAAGCCAGCCTTATAAAATTCCACCCACTCTCACACCCGAGGCAAGTGAGCAAATCAAAGGCTATTGTGTGCGCGCCGTCATCGCAGCATATTGGAGTGCTCCCTCCTAGCCACCAGCACAAAGGCCGGCTGAGGGTGTGTTGTGCCTGTACTGGTGAGTTTCTATGACAGCTTTATGAGCTTGATTTAAGCCTTCTCTCTGCAGCAGTGGAAAAACCAGACCCACAAACAACACAGTCAGGATCTGGGAATCCAGAAGTGACCAATTAGCAGCAATATCGGCGCTGTCCAGTGTGATATGCCTGTGCAGTACAGAACAAACATGCTCAGCTGAACCAGTAGCCCAGTTACCAGGGGAGATCTCCAGCTGCATCAGTGCCCTGGGAATGTGAAGAGGGAAACTACAATTGCCTGGGCTCATCTCCTTCCCGTACTTCATGGTCAGAATCCTGACCATTCACTATATGTGATGCTCTGTGACCTGGGGTTTCATTAAGTCATTGCTCCATGTCCTCTGGCAGCTCCAGACCTCATCAGCATAACCCCCGGCCATTCACTTATTTACTGCCTCATAGCAGGGAACTTCCAGTGGTTCCAGCCACAGCTCCATCCTTTCGAGTGAGCCAGACTTATGTTTTTTTAGATTGATTTGGCCTTTAAGTAACACACATATTAGCAGACAGTAGAGTATCAGTGCTCGTGAACGCTGTGAGAAAGCACCAGCTTGAGCCAAGTTAAGTGTAGTCAGATGTTCATCTCTTGCCTCATCCAACAGCTCAACCAATGCCCCTCAATCCCCTCAACAGCCTTGATGACACTCTTTAATCCCAACATGCAGCTCTGCCAATGCCCCTCTGTCCCAGCCCACAGTCCGCTGTTGTTCCAGCTGTGGGGCTCCCTGCAGCTCTGCCAAAGTATCTGAGCTCCAGCCTGCTGCCCTCCCTGCTAAACCTTTCAGGCAGCTCATGGATGCACTGGGGGCTAGGCTGTGACTGAGACATTACAGGTCTCAGTGCAGACCCAGGGGAAGAAAATCTGGGCCAAGCTGTCCCCACACACCTGCAAATACCACCTACGTCATTCTGTGAAAGGAGGGGTGACGCCTTGAAAAAAAGCCAACCCATGTCTGAGATCTGCAGATGCAGACACTCCCACCTGCCCCACCTCTTGAAGGCACAGCATCCTCGTGGATCTGGTTTCCATCTACAGCAGCAGCCATGTCCTCAATGGCTCCCTGAACTGCTACTTCCCCGTTCAGTTTGAACAAACCCTTGGCTAATTTGTGTGTGAAAGCCTTGGCCTTAGAGCTAAGGGATCACACAGGATCTGATGCTTTCCCAGCTCTCACTGCCCTTACCCAGGTGCTGGCTAGAGGCTTTCAGTGCCTTTGGAAACCATCAGATCCAAATAAGGGTCTGAACAGAATTGTGCTGCACCTCCTTAGGACCTCAGAGAAGGAAATTCAGTGTCTCCCCAGTTTTTGCTGTACTTGAGTTACAGGTCTTTCCAGTCTACCCCATACTAGAGAACAGGGAACACTGTGTAGAAAAAGCCCCAAGATACCCTCAAGGCAAGCTACCTCTGGATATACAATGCAGATTCAGGACATCCATGCTTGAATGCCACGTCCAGTTCTGGCTAGCCAATCTGCAAGAGGGCCAGTCAGAGGGAGATGAGATTCAGAGATGACCCACAGAAGCAAGGAGCAGCCTAGGAGTTGTGTGTGAGGGGAGAACAAAAACCAGGGAAAAGAATAAAAACCCCTGTTACTTTAGGGAAAAGAATAAGAGAAGACAGTTCCCAAGACAAGGGATAGGGCAGACTTGACTGTTCATCCTGTTTCCTAAAATGAAAGGGAGGGAATTGAAATGGAATTGAAAAACAGTATATTTAAAACAGAAAGCAAGGTACACACATGCATGCGCACGAACGCACATGCCCCTGTTGTTGACCTCGGGAAACTCACTACCTCGACATGCAATTGGAGGCAAAACCTTAGCAGGACTTAAATAGAACGGAGCATTTCTGCAGGTAACTGTCATTGCTATCCATCATGTCCATGGGCCAGCTAGGTGCCCACGGACATCCTGGAGCATTTACAACTTGGCCCATCAGGCTTCAGCTGCAGCATTTGGCCAGTTCAGTCAGCTACTTTGACTATTCATTTACCAGCATCTCCTCCCCACAATCTGTTCCTTGGTTTCCAATTAGCAATCTGACTGGATTGGGAAAACTCTTTCCAGATACAGGCAAGAGCTGGATTTGGAAGGGGACACACTCTTTAAACCACCACAGTGGCTGGCTCTGAAGCAGGGAGACCTTTTTGGAGCACCTTAGCCAAGATTAGGTGGGATCTGTCTGTAACCTTTGTTGTCACCTCCCCTGTCCCTGGTAAAAGAGCGACTTCACTTTCACATCCCATGGCTGGATCTATCCAGGAGATACCAAGCACTCAAAGCTAGTTTCGATCACTGGATCTATCCAGGAGATACCAACCATTCAAAGCTAATTTCCGTGACTGTTTCCAGTCTAAAGAGTCCAGGGAACATCTCTACTATCTATGATCTGATCACACTGGCCTGAGATCTCTAAAATGCAGCAACACCCCCACCCCCTGTTCCAGCACAGTAACCCAGGGCATTGTCCTAACTCAGGAATTGGGTACTAGCTCAAAGGGCACTTGACAGACTATCGTTCCCCTGCTCAGACCAAAGATGTACTGGAGGACCTAGAATTTAGGCTCAACACAGACCCTGATATTTTCAATGCTCAAGAACCTCTGCGATTTGCCAGCAAGTTTCCTAGATCTCCACAAGCCAGTAACAGGCTTACTTCCCACCGGACAATGCCAGCTATTAAAGTCAGCGCTAGCCGTGTTGCAGCAGAGATACCACAATACCACTGTGAGCAGGTGAAGCCAACTGCTAGCCACTCTCAAAGGTTTCCTCTTCCTGGCAGTGAATGATAACTGAGTGCAGTGGGGCCAGCCCCGCTCAGAGGCGCTGTGCATGTCTTCAGCACAGCTCCTGTTTCAGGTCAGTGGTACAGCCGCACTCAAGACCCAGGAGGAAAAGTCATAATCAGCGCACGAGCACGCACAACCTGGGAGAGACATGCTTTGGCTGCACGTATCTCCCAACTCTCCCCTCCACACCCCACCACAAAGAAGCTAATTCAAGCTGTATGAAGAATTGTGAACAGCAACGCCCTTTGCTTAAAAGGGAGTCAAATCTCCCTATGTAGCAAAGTAGTAAGCTCAGTGGCTAGAGAGATAAGAGCTGCTCAGCAAGTGGTTCAGCAACCCCTGGTAAGGCAGTGTTTCAGCAAGAGTGTTTACAAGAATGACTGAGGTCTGGAGGTTGTACGGTTTAAATAAACTTGAAATCCGACTCGACTTCCTTCCCCAATTTCACAAGCTCTGCTTCCTGCCCCTTCTCGGCACCGCCAGGCGTGCTCAGTTGCTGCAGGAAATGCTGGTGGTAGGGGCATTTTCTTCTTATTTAGTAAGTTCTTTGAAACCTTGGGCAGATGCTGTTGTGAAGAGCTCAGAAAGGTCCACAACCAGCTCAGAAAGGTCCATCATCCCCCTGCCAGCCTCCTAGATCCCCTCCATCAAGCCCAACTGGGATGTACACGTGTGTATTTCTGCATGTTCAGTGACCATGGTCACGCTGGTCCCAGCAGGGCTCTGCTCCCTGGTTCTGGGAGCCCATATGCTTTTACTAATATTACCCAAGCCTGTATTGCTGTTTGCCCTTATCAACAGCACTGCTAGCCATGTTCAAACAGCAAAATGTTTATTTTTTGCTGGTGATGAGGTCAGAGGCAAAAAAGAGCCCAGTTTAGGGTTTGAACTGTGGGTAAAGTTTGAGAAGCCAGTCCCAGTAACTGGGAAGGTGAGGGACACAATGGGACATGTTCATTTCTAAATTGCAGAAGTCTTGAGAGCACATGCTCTGTGCTCATTAGCTGGTTTGGGACAAGCTCAGCTTCCAGGTCACCTATGAAACAAAACTAACAGGACTTACGTGCTCATTAGTAAAGAAAGGAACTGTTTTCAGAACCTTAGGGATATCTGAAATAAACACTCCTATCTGTAGTCCATGTTGGACCAGTTTAACTAACAGTAATATTTTTACACTGGTTCAGTTAAGACTGGTGCAAACAGCCAGAATACTTGATCCAGTTCCAACCGCGTTTACATCAGTTGTGCTTCACTCTGTGCCCTGTGACCCCTATAAACCAGGCTGATACTGAATTCAGAGTGGTGCAAAACCATGCGTGCACACCTGCTCTTTTACCGATTAAAAAGCTAAACCTGGGTGACTTCAGGGGTTTCTTTTGTCTTTCTGCTGCAGGCAGAGGTGAGAAGGGAGTGGGGTTTTCACAGCTCCTAATTGAAGAGGCGGTGCTGCTTCACACTTACCAGAGATCTGCATTTTCACATGTTTGGCTCAATCCCTCCGAGTCAAACTTCAACACCATTTTAAAACAGTCTATTCTTGGTGCATCTCTCAAGCACAGATTGGGATAATGTGTTTCTTTAACTCCAGTTTGATAATGAGGTAAATTGTACCTACAGTGGGGATATCTGTGCAGCTCAAACGCCAGCAACTAAAATCCCAGTACAGACAAAGCCTATTATAAACCCCGCTTTTCTAGTCAAGACCTTAGATTTCCATTCCTTAAGAGCTATGATGTCATAAACCTATTAGCTCTCCAGTCACCCACAGAGTGTCCCGGAAGAAAAAGGGGACAACCTGAATTTCTACAATAAAAGAAGAAGGGAAAAGCATAAACAAAACAAAAATGTCATATTTTAGGCCTTCCTGTACTGCATGTCAGAACCATCAAAGAGTGGGTGGGAACTGCAGTATTTCTCCCCTCCTTTTTGCCAGCTCCCTTTAACGCTAAGCTTTTGCCCTCAAGTTTCCAGCACAGATCGGGCTCCATCTCTGCTGACAGCACGGATGTCAAACATTTAAAACAGCAAGGAAGGATTTTTTTTGCTTGCGTTATCACGAGAGGAGATTAAAAAGGCATCTGGATAAAGCGATTAGCCAGGGAAACAGCAGGGCAACCACACACACAGATGGAGGGGAATCGGCAATGTGACTGCTTCGCATACCCTGCAATAAAAAAACGCCCTCTTGTACCTTGCAGGCAGGTCTGTGCCGTTAGCTGGCAGCCATTTGAGAACGCTCTATTGTCTAGGCTAGGGTTTGCTTTAATGCAGAGTATATTGCTTTAGCAGCTCTGTCCCCCTCTGCTGCTGTCAGCTCAGCTCTTTGATCCCTGCACAGGTGCTGGTTTATTAAAGGGTTTTGCTGCACTTCTGCAGATGGGAGATTACAGGATTTGGGGGTTTTTTCTGGATGAACTGAAAACCTGACGCCAGAGGCCGGCACGTCTCACACGGGTGCCAGAGCCAGCTCTGGGCAGGCCCTCCCAAACAGCATAGCCCAAGAGGAGCCTGCCCAGAAGGTGAAGCTACACAGCCCTGCCCTGGCAGCCTTCAGTCCCATCAGGGCAACTCCCCTAAATAAACCACAGACCAATGGGCCTCAGGATCAGCAGCCTAATCCTAGGTGTACCCTTGAACCATGGCTCCCCCCTTGCTGCTGCGACCCTCTCCCATTTGGAGGTCGGGCATGGATAATGCTCTGTTGGGTGGGGGGGACCATGGAGTCGCCCCATCTCCTTCCCTTGAATCGCAGGGACCCACGGAAGCCTTGTCAGAGCATCAGTCCACGCCTGGAGCTGGCAGGATGTACCTCTGGTCCCCACCGCGCACACGCTCTGCTGCGGGGAGGGCAACTACCCCGCAAGCCAGACGCTTGGCTGCTACAGCGACGGGGATGTATAAGCACCTCAGCAGCGTGCTATTTGGAGCACCACACTGGGGTCTCATGGCATAACGGAAAAAAAAGAGACCCCCTGTGGCCCCAGAGGAGGGTGACCCCATCCGACAGGAACCTCTGGCTGCTTCTGGCTTTCCCCCTCTTTGTCCCCACTCCCCAAAAAGGCTTTCAAGCGCTATGCAGCCCTGGATTCGGACCCCCACAGGGACCCAGAGGGGATGGCGCATGCGGCACCCTGCTCCCACACCTGCACAGAGGGGAGCGTGGGTCCCTGGGCATCGCGGGGAGGGGAAACATTTCACAGCGCCGCAGAAGCTGCAGTCCTGGGCTCCGGCTGGAAATGGGGATGAACCTCTTG